AAACACTAAGCACATGTTCACAATAAGAACGCTGCACTTCATATGATACCTCATCCGCACGCACACTCACTGAAGTACAGGCGTCTACTTGAAAATCTAAAAAGTAATTGGGGGGTGTATATGGCCCAAGTCGTGCCTTACGTGCACAAGCTCTCCCATAATATTAAGAAGGTTGCTGCAAGGCATGGTGTGGCTGTGGTCTTTTCTGCGCCAGAAAAGCTCGCCAAGTTATGTCCGCGTATTTGCAATGGCAAGAGACGCGGTTGCGTGAAAAAACATGAGAATGCCTTCGTAAAATGTTCCATGGGAGTTGTATACTCCATTCCTTTTTCCTGCGGTAACGTGTACATTGGCATTACCGAGCGATGCCTCAATGACCGGCTTAGGGAGCATGCGCTAAAGGTTAAGAAAAACGAGGATAAGTACGCACATCTTGTGTCGCATATTGCCGCATGTGGGTGTGAACCACGATTTTCGGATACAAGGATTCTTGGGAGAAGCTCAAATTTATCAGCACGTTTGCTGTTAGAAGCATATTACATAGAAAAGAATAAAGATATATGTGTCAGCGAGCCATCTTTGGTGTTGCATCAACAAGAAATATCTTTCCTTGATGCGAGGGTTTAGCGATTATATCTCCTTTTCGTGTTAACCCCCCCCTTTTTTACTTTTTTTACTTTTTTTACTTTTTACTTGTTCCTAGTGGTGTGGTGACGCCATGTTGGGTTTCTACTGGCGCAGTTCTGTTAGTTTGTGCCTTTGCGCATTTCGATGTACGTATATAAGAAGGTCAGATAGGAGCAATAAACAGTTGGTAGTGTGAGCGCTGCGTGTCGTGTGTGTTGCTCTGGTGTGAGTGTGTGTGCTTGTGTGAGTGTTTGCGTGAGTCGAGGTTGCGCCAAATTTCTAAGTATATAATGCTTGTATGGCCAGCTACAATCCAGAGCTACCCACCCTTGTGTCGGCAGATGCCAGTTCGTTCGGGCTTGGCGCGGTTCTCTTGCAGGAGCAACAGATGGGAGAGCGACGGGCTGTCGTGACTACCGCTGAGCAGCGGTACAGTCAGATTGAGAAAGAAGCGCTTGGTGTCTCTTGGGCTATCGAGAGGTTTGAGGAATTCCTGCGTGGACTCGGCTTTGTCGTTGAAACCGACCATCAGCCGCTCGTCAGGTTGCTTGGTTCCGCCGATCTGGACCTCATGCCCCCTCGCATCCAAAGATTTCGCATAAGGCTCATGCGATATCAGTTCACAGTCAAGTATGTTCCAGGAAAGTACCTGGCCACGGCAGACACCCTCTCTAGGGATCCCGAAGGCTCTTCCACGTCCGAAGAGGACAGCACAGAAATTTTTGTGTCTCTGGTCGTGGCAGCCCTTCCTTCAACCCTGGCCGTACGTCTTGAAGACTTCAGGTCTCACCAAACTTCAGATGGCGAGTGCTCAATGCTGAAAGCATACTGCATGAAAGGGTGGCCTCGACGAGACCGTCTGCCGCTCAACATGACGCGTTACTGGGACCACCGGGGAGAGTTCACTGTATGCGAGAACATGCTGTTCATAGGCGGACGCCTAGTTGTGCCCGCAGCACTACGCAGAGACATCGTGAACCTGCTGCACGATGGTCACCAAGGCGTCAATCGGTACTTGGCGGTGGCCCGAGGCTCTCTGTGGTGGCCCGGTCTCAACAGCCAGGTTAGAGCAGCCGTAGAGAACTTCCCAGCATGTGCTTCTATACGCGTTCAACGCTGTGAGCCCATGATTGCGACCGAGACACCATCAGCTCCGTGGGAAAGGGTGGCCATTGACTTGTTTCATTTTGCTAATCAAGAGTTCCTGGTGGTTGTCAACTACCGTTCTCGGTACCCTGAGGTCCTCACACTCCGGTCCACTTCTGCGGGAGCCGTTATTTCTGCGATCAAGAGCACATTTGCCCGACACGGCATCCCGGTGACTGTTGTCAGCGACAATGGGCCACAGTTTTCCTGCAAAGCTTTTGAGGACTTTGGGAAGACATACGGTTTCACGCATGTCACGAGCAGTCCACGCTACCCGCAGTCGAACGGCGAAGCAGAGCGCATGGTTCGCACGATCAAGGAGTTGTTTCTGAAGGCCACACCCCCGTTTCTGGCTCCGCTAGCATACCGTAACACTCCCGGTGTGTCTGGCTACAGCCTGGCCCAAATGCTCATGGGACGCTCTCTGCGAACTCGTGTGCCAGTCACGGCTCAAAGCCTTGTTCCAGATTGGCCCCAGGTGAAACAATTCAATGACAGAGATGCCGCCCAGAAACGAAGACAACAGAGAGACTACAATAATCGACACGCAGCGCATGACCTTCGTGCTCTCGACGATGGGGAGGAAGTCTGGGTGCGTGACACGCGGGCAAGGGCGACGGTCTTAAGCCCGGCTCAGAGACCCCGCTCGTACATCGTCCAGACGCCGAGTGGCATACTAGTGAGAAACCGCAGACACCTTGTCCCCTGCAGCAATCCTCAGTCGGCCCCCTCAGATGAGACGGGAAACCCTGCGGCCCCGACATCGGCGCCGTCTCCCGGACCACAGCGGGCAGCAACCGGTAACGCATCGGACACTCCAGTTCCTGCACCTGCTGCAGGATCGCCAGGTCACCGTTACACACGATGCGGCCGGCGCGTGGTGCCACCTCGGAGACTGAATTTGTGAGACTGCTGCAAGGACTGTTTCTTGGTGGTGCTCTTTTGGAACACTTGTGTTTGAGAGCTCCGGAAGGAGGGATGTAGAGGACGCCACCTGTTGCTTCTAGTAACTGGGAGGTGGCGCCCCCACTCTGTATAAAAGGCATTGGTGGGCATTAAACGGGGCTTTTTGCTGTTTGTGAACTACGCATTGTCGGGTCATTCTTCGCGGGCTTTACGCCCACTTTTGGCTCGGCTAGCGGCGTCCGCGCTACCCCGGGCACGTCACTACAGACCACTCACTGGGTGTGTTGCTGTGTTTCTCTGAGTGGCATACCCACTCACGCTCATGAGTACACAGTCACGTTCATACCCATTTCTACTGACACTCGGGGTACTCACTCCCATTCATACTCACTCCTACTCACGCTCATGAATACACACACACGTTCATACTCACTTCTAGTCGCACTCACTCCTACTCACTTACGTTCATACTCACTCTAACTCACACTCATGAGTACTCATACTCACACTCACCATGTTCAAACGAGTATGAGTGAGTGTACTCATGAGTGAGTATGCCGAGCTATGCTCGGCTTATGCTTGACTGAGTCAAGAGGGGTGCTGACGGCAAGGTGCACTCCTCCACCTTGAATCAGTTCTCGACTCATTTTGCGGTCACTGATATCCAAAGTGGAGAAGCTGATGCAGGAAACTCAGACACAGCTCACTCTTCTTCCCAAAGGTATGACGTGCGTGCTGCAGCGATTAGACGTCTGCCTGAACAAACAATTCAAGGATCGAATGCGGCGGCTGTACGGAGAATATATGGGAGAAGATCAAGCTTTGACACTTATGGGTAGAATAAAGCAACCTAGTTTCGGGAAGATTGCAGAGTGGGTGTCTGCTGCTTGATACAGCCTGCCGCACGACATAATAGTTCCCGCATTTAAAAAGTGCTGTATATTGAACTATACGAATGGCACGGAGGATGACCTCATCTGAAAGAAAAAAAAGTGCAAAAAGGGCTCGACCACCGGCGACGATAGTGAAGAAAGTGACAAAGGAACAAAACTCGCTTTATATTTAGGAACTGGGATGTCTTTGCCTCTACCATGTGTAGCAAATAAAGGTACTTTTTCTCCCTGTTTTACTTACATTACATTTATGTTCTTTTTTTTTTCGGCACTGAAAAGTCAACTCTCACGTGACTATTCAGGTCGCGTTACATTCGGAGGCTTACAAAGAGCATTCAGCTTAAATTGACAAAGCAGCAATGGAAAGGAAAATGATAGGTGTAACCTAAAGAGACAAAAAGAGAGTAGAGTGGGTCAGGGAACAAACCCGAGTTAACGATACAATAGTTGAAATCAAGAAGAAGAAATGGACATGGACCGGGCACGTAGCACGTAGACAGAATAACTGCTGGTCATTACAAATAACTGACTGGATTCCCAGAGAAGGCAAATGCATGAAGAGTAGACAGAAAGTTAGGGGGGCCTATGAGATTAAAGAGTTTGCAGGTATAACATAGCAACGAAAAGCACAAGACCAGGTTGATTGACGGATCACGGGAGAGGCTTTGCCCTGCAGCGGGAGTAGTCAGGCTGCTGCTGCTGATGATGACATGGTACCACTTATAATTATTGCTGATATTTGATATTTGCAACTTCCACGACTTTTAAGCTGTCTATAGTGTGTGTGTGTGTGTGTGTGTGTGTGTGTGTGTGTGTGTGTGTGTTGATTGATTGATTTGTGGGGTTTAACGTCCCAAAACCACCATATGATTATGAGAGACGCCGTAGTGTAGGGCTCCGGAAATTTTGACCACCTGGGGTTCTTTAACGTGCACCCAAATCTGAGCACACGGGCCTCGACATTTCCGCCTCCATCGGAAATGCAGCCGCCGCAGCCGGGATTTGAACCCGCGACCTGCGGTCAGCAGCCGAGTACCTTAGCCACTAGACCACCGCGGCAGGGCTGTGTGTGTGTGTGTGTGTGTGTGTGTGTGTGTTGTGTGTGTGTGTGTGTGTGTGTGTGTGTGTGTGTGTGTGTGTGTGTGTGTGTGTGTGTGTGTGTGTGTGTGTGTGTGTGTGTGTGTGTGCGTGCGTGCGTGCGTGCGTGCGTGCGTGCGTGCGTGCGTGCGTGCGTGCGTGCGTGCGTGCGTGCGTGCGCGCGTTTAGTGCACAACAGACTCGAGTAAAGAAAACTTTTTTTTTACCAGAGCTATTGCATAAAAGCATGAAATTGCATCATATGATTGAAGTTTTCCATTGTTACGGGTGTTCTTCCGTGACCAGGGCATACATAAGATTCCACTGTAGTAAAAAGGAGAACATGCTCACCTCACCAACGCTGATATAGCAGTTGTGCAGTATGGCGGCTCGCCACACCCGCGACTCGTGGCCATAGAGTGCGTGCACTGAACTGAACCACCCACTGGCCAACTGAGCTGGCCCAAAGGGCAGCAGGGAGGCAGTTCCCGAGTGTGTGGTGGCACTGCTGGTGCCGGCTCGTTCAGGTAAAGTGTTACTTGGACCAGCCTCATGGAAACGGTAGACACGCAGTGACCGATCATCTGATGTGGAGCATAGTAGCCGCTGTGGCACATGAAAGCTGACCGAGAAGATCACACCCTGGGCAACATGCAATGGCATTATAGGGTCTTAGGCATCAAAAATCAACAGCCTAAAGAGCTGCCTGCCATCTCTCAAGATAACCTGCCTATGGTTCCATTAAACTCTAGTCATACTGTGAACATGCTTCAAAACCGGCACTGCCAAATAAAAAACAAAAAATTGCCAGAAAATAGCCAGCTTTAACCAAGGGCAGTAAAAGTAGCCAGAAAAAGTCAGGCGTCCATGAAAAAAACTGCAACATTTTAGCTGTATAGCTAAATGATGCACCAGCTTTTTGGTGACAATGGGAAGTACAGCATCAACAGTTGAAAATCAGATTTCCTAAGATTCATGCATAAACATTTTTCTGTCGCAGTGGTTTCACCCAAGATGGCCAAGTTTCTTGTGCTGGTACAGAAATGACACACTTTTCTCCTGTTTTACACAACTTTTCTTTAGAAGACTAAAAATAGTACGTTTGTAAAAATAAAAACGAGTACGGCCTAAGCTTACTCAGGATGGCAGTAAGTGGAATTGAAGCAGTCACTTCCACAATCATTTCTTGTGCGATGACAAATTAACTTTTCCGAGCACATACTAAATCCTCAAAAATGACACAAGCATAACGAACATCTTACTGGTAATATCAATGAGTGCAGAGTGCCCTGGAATCAGAGTGCTTTCAACTGTTCTGTTCAGTCCCAATTACTGCTAATAGCGTTCAGCAATAGGTCAGCAAAACAACATTCCATGCAACAGTTTTTCCCTCGAGTGCCAGCCACATACTGAAAAGCTTTTTCTTTCATGTAATATAAGTTCCACATTCTGCTTTGGAAGCTGGAAACACGCCCTGACCACCATGTTTTCACAGTGCAGTTTCATAGCACATAAAAAAAACACGGACAGAGAAACACGCTACACATACATGCACTAACATGCAACACATGTACGGTTATATATGTGGTTACCTGTTTCCAAAATAAACGTTGTCGCAAATTAGCCCTAGTGTGTGTCACGTCTTTATCAGTCCGTGTTTTTCCGAGTGCAATAAAACTACAGTGTGACACACAAACACACCCAAAACACTACATTGATACTGCCTACTCAAAATTCAAGTGGCTGTGACATAATCAGACACTGATAATTTGGCTCAAACCAAGGAAGCAAGACAGTAACCAAACAGTGGCAAAATATCCAGGATGTTTTTCATGCCACCACGAGCCTCATAAAGAAGCCAAAGCAATTAAGCCAAGCCTGGATACTATATTCATAATGGCCCTCAATCAATTACAACTGTGCATATTGTCATTATGAGGTAATTTATCTTTATATATCTGATCGTACAATAAATTGGCTGCTTAAGACCTTAAAGGCCAACTCCGGCGATTTCTCGAGTTCAATGAATCTCAACGAAATTCACTGGGTAAGTTAATTTGCACGTTTGCTCAATTTGTGCCAGATTGAAAGCTTGAGAGATTCGCAGATTCTTTTCAAATGAATTTTATAGCTTGCCTCGAAACGCTCACCTCGCTTGCCAAAATTATTGGCAACACTGTGCGTGTGACATTGAGTTTTGCCTGGCAGAAATGATGGAACTGATGTGCCTGCGGCGTCTGCTTGTCTGCTATGGATTGTGCGGGTGTGGCCGGCACTTCCTTGGTTGAGTATGCGATTTCCTTTTTCGTGTTGGCGGGCATGCGATAGGTGGCAAGTGGTGTTGCATTGTGAGCCTTTCACGATTTGCCATATATGTACCATAACAGTGTAAGCATTTTAGCCGATCTTGGCGGATGGCATGGACAGGAAGTGCAATCTGGCAGGCATTATGCGCAATCGGGCAGGTTCGGGCAAATGATTAGATCACACGTAGACGCGCACTCGATTGGGTTTCGATTCCGGTATTAAGGTTTTTCAGTAATTAAAAATTATTTTCAAATTTATTGAGCATTTCAGCTATCGGGCACGTGACAAGAGTGTCTCGGGAATATAAAAGCACCACGAGTGTTGCGCTCTGTCCTCTTGTGTCGGTCTGCTCGGCCGTTTCTTCTTCCCCGTAATGCGCTATACCAGTTCAAGTATAAAAGCACCATTATCCTGACATGGCCAAAAAATCGTTGGAGTTGGCCTTTGATGTATAAGGCCAAGTGACCAAAAAAATTTTTTAAAGCAATAATCACTAGAAACTATTAGTCTGCAAAATAAAGTGCATCTTTTTAGGCAAATGTGAGCATTAATAAACAAATCGTGATTTTTTTTTTCATTTTTCATAATTCAAAATTTCATTATATGTATGCCCTGCACAAAGGCTCCTAACTCAAGTTCCACTCGTTAAGAAATTTTGATATATTTTAGGCCTATATAAAAGTCTTTGACCTGAGCAATGAACCAAAACAAATAAGATCTCACGAATAGTGAAAACTTAGCAATCACCAAAAAAAAATATGCGGTAGTACTAGAGGCACCTTCGTATAAAAGGCAAGCATAATAAACTTCATGACATGATTTCGCTCATTGAGGTTCATTACATGCCATATATATGATAAGAAAGTGTGCCAAGTTTTAATAAAAATGTTAATTAGCAAAACAGCTACAAATGTTCGTGTGGGAAAAAATACAAAAAATACAAATTTCAAGAAAATAAACAAAAACAGGAGCCGTGCTTATGCAACATAATTAAGAGGGCTAAAATTGTCAATATTTGTAGCCAGTTCTATCGAACCTTACTGCTGTGTGCCTTTTCTCTAGGGGCCGCTCTATTTTTTTTCTGTTTTCGAGTTTGCTTTGCAGCATTAGTGACATGATGGGGAGCTTTCGCGCTGCAGTGCTAATCAATTGTGAGGCACGCTTTTCCGATGTAGGGGCCAGGCTCTATGCCAATTTGTTTCGAAATGTCAAAATGTGCTTCTGTTGCCAATACTGAAGTGACTGACATCGTCGCTGACAATGAAATTTGATGGTTTACAGGCTCACATACGTGTCCTTGAACATGGGTGTTACATGTACCACTTCACGCGTTCCCCTAATGAGAAGTTTATGACATTTATGATTAAAAAGGATGTGTCGACAATGCTTTCAGAGCATTAGGACATGTTCCCACATCATAGACATGATAAATAGCCAAAAAAAGTACCACATTTCAGGCCAATGTTATGAGGCACACAAAAACTGGTACTTTTAGTTTCAGTTTTGTAGGTTGAACATTTTAGCTTATATCTTTTGAAAAAAAAAAAACATATAGGAGGCAGATTTATGCTGCAAAATGGCAGGCAATGAATTGGGCATTTAACATAACCTAAGACCGAAAAAAGGCATTTTAAGAAACAATTTCCTTTTTTGACTTGGCCTCATACCTTAAAGAGCTGAATATTATTTCTGGCTTAACGAGGGAAAAAAAAGAAACAGAACAGAACGAAATCCCCTATTCTGTCTTTTCGGTTTTTCTTTCTCATTCTCTGTTGTGCAACAAATAATTTGTTTAGCTATGCACTAACTCACCCAGCCTTACACTCTGATGATCATTATTAATTTTTGTTGAAACTAGCACAACATATATACACACTGATGAGAACTCCTTTGTTGCTTAAATTTTTATGAGTCACACCTTTTGGCTGAAAATACCAAGCTAAACACATGGAAGCACTTGGGCTGCCATTGTAAGTGTATGCTCACACCCAATCATATCTCAATGCCTGTTTGAATTTTCATTTTAGACTTGCATAGTTTGATTAGCAGATCTTGGTTTAATAATTACTGACATTAATGTTAAATACTCCAACATAACAAGTAACAAAATTTCATAAATGCTCTAACGTAACAAGAGCTTGGCGGCATAGAAAACATGCACATCACTCAAAACCCACTAGTCTTCATTGCGCAGATTGTTAGCCTTCTGCAAGATCTATATCATGGTGCTCAGAACAACTCACGACTACAATCAATACACTTCACCTCGATGGACAGCCTTAGTACATGCTTCAAGATCTCAACTGGCTGCAGTGGGAACAACTGAATCATCACTCTGCATCACTGTGCATAAAGCGCTGTGCAGCACCACCACAGGCGGTGACATTATGCAGGCGGTGACACAATGCACTATAAAAGGACTGCCAGTTTACTTTATGGCCACAAGGCTCAGCAGCATCAAAAACATGCAGATCACTCAAAACCCACTTGTCTTCACTACACAGGTATGAAGCAATTATAGTGAATGTATTTCTTCTGATTACAGTTTTTTCTATATACAGCCATGCCACCAGCTGTGTGATATGTTTATATATATTGTCACGGGGTCGTGACTAGGCCGAAGACAGGAGACTTTATGTTGGGATTTAACTGTTTATTTGGCCGAACCTGTGCCCGGTAAACGGAAAGTTTGATTACAGTAGCAGTCTTGCACAGATAGCAATGAACGGAGTGTCGGCCGTCGATCAACTACTGACAAGCGGCGAAGCGGGTCGGCATTTATACTCTTGCCGTCGAATGTTCTAGCCTTATCGCTGGCGGTGGCGTAGGTTCCAGAATAATCTGTACAGTTCACAGAGTAGGCGTGATCTTATCGAAATGATCTACTACAGTCCGGAAGCTTCTCGAAAACTGCAGGTGCGGCTTGCGCTGAGAATTATGTAGTGTTTTGGGACGATAACAAAACTTGGGAAATGGAACGTGGCAATATTTTGTCAGAAATTGGTGGTTGCTTGGAGGCGACAAAGAAGAAAATCCAGGCTGAGACACAGCGCCAATCGCTAAATGACTTAAGGAAATTGCATCGGACATTAAAGAAACCAAAGAATCTTGTCTTGCAGACATCAAAAAGAAATTAGATTCGATTTCCACTTTCAAACAAAAAGTACCATTGCGTAAAAGCAAATTACCTGCATGAAAAATACAATTAAAGCGCTTAAATATAAACTATAGCATACGCTCTAACTTCATACACTTCCACAAAAAAGGTAAAACCAACACTACACTTGAAAGTGTGGTAAATAAAACCATTTTTATATATCCTTGAATTAGCATAC